AGTCCAGTCATCACCCGAAGACGATTGTAGATACTAACAATCGAAACGTCGTGAACTAACGTGACTTGGAATCTCTACACTTTTTATCATTTTCTTTGTTCATTCCTTCATTTTTATTTATTCAATTGTTATATTTTTACTTGTAGTTTATTTCACTATTATTTCATTTCAGGTTTATTTTGCTTAATATAATTGTCATTTTCAGCTATTCATTTTCAATACTTCTTTTTTAGTTGTTTCAGGGATTTCAAATCATTTTATATAGTAGACAATGGAAGTCCGAACTAGCGAAATTCCGATAGATATATTGTGTGGCAGCCCATCTGATGATTCTCAAGAGATATCTTTTCAGATTATGTAAATCTGAAAATCTTGTCTTCAATAAAAAAAAAGGATGGAATGAAGTATTTTGATGAATCAATAATAGCTCATTTATATTTTCTATCAAACTTTTGAGTTGTATGGAGGAATCACTCGAGTACCTAGTTTTTTTGAGTAAACAAATGAATCCCTCAAGAACGGATCATTTTTGACATAGAGTGTATCTAAGTATTACAAAAACTCACATTGGAAATATGACAGGTATTTGAAAATGTAAAAAAATATCTGTTTAAAAATCTGTTTTTCCGTTAACCAGCTGTCGCACCCCTACGAACGACAACCCTCAGAAGTCGAAACTTGTGCGAGCTAAGGATTAACGAGGTCTTACCTTTTAACGTGTGATTCCTAACACGGGTGGATATAGGGTGATACTTTTGAAATAATGAATTTGATACCAACTTCCGATATAACTGGAAGTGTTGAACGAACGCCATTATTTTTATTCGATAAGGCATAGGTATTAAAAAACCTATATTCGTCATTTTTCAGGATGTGAATCTTATTATTTTCTAAAATACGGCTATCCGTCTGTCATTTCGTCTGTACCCTGTATTATCATGGCAGAAAAACGTCATTATTCATCAGTCATGATTTATATTTTGATCAGATTCCAGTATCCCACAACTATTTCTTTACTTATGTAGTATCTTATCGATCCATTTTGTGACTAATTTTATTCAACTCTGACACAAATGTATCACAATCAATTATTGAAATTCTTACCCTCGGAAACGGCTGGGACATAGAAACCACTCCGAAAATTAAAAAAATTACTTTCATTTTTTTTTTTCAGTGGCGAATACTCAGCTACCAAAGGATCATATATATCAACTAGATTAAATTCTCATCGCTTTGAAAATAATAGTTACTATATCTCACATTCATACCTTATCTTATCAATGGTTACCTTAATTTTGGAGCGAATCCAATAATTCCTAGTTCTGTTGAAATGTCTGATCTTTTAACCCACAGGCGTATTAAACTGACACTTGAGACTCCAGTATATTATCGATACTTCAAATCTAATTGATACCTAATTTATTGGGGATCATTGATAACTTAATATTTTTTCTTCGCGGATTATGCAACTTGTTTGTTCAAAACTAATTATCGAAAACGTTATCCGATTGTGCCTATCAAAACCCTTACCGAATTATTGACTCCTTATGGACAGAAGTTTTCATCAGATATTTGGATTCTTTAACGCGGTGATGATAATGAAACTATTCATTCAATACAGGATTTCAATATTTGAAGTTACATTTTTTTTGACATATCAGACATTATAAATCCAGAACATTGATGTTGAATAATGCGTAAGACATCACACAAAGCATATCAAAAACAAATACAGGAATCAAAATGAATATATTTGGCCTGAATACTGCTTCATACTGCTGAATCAACTCGAAGGCATATTTACAGGATTCCCTCAATTCAACGATTCGCATTACATCAGTTCTAGCAGCAATAATCAACTGAAAGTTTATTGATTCGTACTTATTTTTCAACCAATGTGAAAAAAATTTGTATTGTGTCATAATGGATATTTCATAAAAGTAACATGTCAGTAAATCCGAATAGCAAAATACTCAATCCTTCTCTAATCCAGTAGATATATTGCAAAACAAACGCAAGGAGGAAGTTGAAATAGATGACGCCTATTTTGAGGAGCGGCCAAAAGATGCTTTCCTTGTGCTCCGTATTCTCAGATACTGTCTGAATTTCTTCATCATTTTTATGAGTGCACACAATATTCCACACGGTGATGATAATGAAACTATTCATTCAACACTGGGTTTCAATATATTGAGATATATTTTTTGGGGCATATTTGATGGGAAAAAATTTAATGGCCAGGCCAGTATATCAACCTATGGAGCGCTCAATTATAAAGAAAATGTTATAAATGTGCTCTCAGCACAGGACTACAAACTATTTCTTTCTCAAAGTCTAATATATCAAATTGAACATAAATACATTACAAGTTCAAATAATATTATAATGAGAAATGAAACTTTCTATTGCTGGCCTCAGTCGCAAAAACCGAAAAACCATAAGTCGCCTAAGAATTGGTCACATCCGACTCACTCACCAACATTTACTAAAAATGGAAGCTCAAGTACCTATATGTGGAAATTGCAACATGGAACTAAGCCCGGTGACATAGTTTTTTTTTGTGACAAAACACAAGTACTACAGAAAAATCCTTAAAGCACTCTCAGAGCGGTGTCTGTGCGAAAGTAGCGATTCACATTGGATTTGAATCGCTGGAGATTCAATCCATTTGGAAAAACCTCCTCAGGAAGTTTATTCCACATAAACGCAGTTCTTCAGATGAAAGAGTTCTTAAACAGTGAAGTTCGAGGTGTAACGAGTTGAACCTCAAAACGCTGAGCAGCCAGAGTCCGTCGCGTATTTCTGATATGTACCGCTTTTGGTGGAATTAAAGAAAAGAGACAAATCTCCAAATTTCGATGTTCCAGGCTATCAGGGTATGTTTGGGGACAGAGATCCATACATGAGAACAGTACTCCAAAGAAGGTCTAATCTGAGCTTTATAAAGCATCAAAAGTTGCTTATGTGTGAACAGTTTTCTGGTTCGGAACAGTGTTCCAAGTTTTTGAGAAGCAGCCTTTGCAATTCCAGCGACATTTTCAAATATTCCAACTGGGGCGCCCCCGTGAGGGTAAAGGGGGCATGTTTACATATGAAAATTACTTTTTCATCACTGTTTCCCCGTATCGCTATATTTTCGGAGGCTGTAGGTTAGTTTTATGATGTAGATGTGCAATGAGGGAGGATTTTCAAATATTCCAACTGGGGGTAAATTTGAATAAATGGTTTTATTTAATAAACCGAAAACTACTACATCAAACGTAGCTTTCTAGAGTACCATTGAAGAGCATCTCTAAAGAGCTTTCACAAGTAGGGGGTTGCCATTGAAGAATATAAAGTTGGGGTGGCTGGGGGCGAGGTGGTGAATGGAAATATCGTTTTGTTTCCCCCTTCCTATTATGGAAGTTGTTTTCAGCAATTTGTTATATTTTATTTGGTTTGCTCCGATATAACCATTGTAAGTTTTTAAGTTTTCACCCTGTATTAAAGTGTTACTGTTGAAATTATTCCTCCCAGACTCAGAAACCTCTCTTCAAACTTCCAACGAATATGTTTTTGGTATTATAATAGATTGGTGCTTCTTGGCTCTGTGATAATAGTATATTATGCAACGATCATGTAATGATGGTTATTAAGACACGAGCATTAACCGGGATACGAAACGAGCCGAAGGCGAGTTTTGTATTGTATATACGAGTGTATTAATAACCATTACATGAGAGTTGCATACGCTATTTTTTCTAAACCCGATAAATAATGAAAAACTATAAATATTATATTTGTATTGAACACATTTACAGTAATTAACTCATATTAAAAAAAAACACAAACTTAATGGTATTATCATGGATATATGAAAACTATAAAGATTCTAATTATATTTACATTGAATATAACAACTGTAATTAATCTGATCTTTTAAAAATATTGGAGTCGATGGTATTCCTTCTATATCGCTGGTTTCAGACATTTAGATAATATAGGTAGGTAATATGAAAACTGATTTTGACAAATAAAGCAATTAGTTACTTAGGTTAGAATCTAGGACAAACAAAGGAACAGGTTTCTTGATTGAAAAATTATGGGTTTCTATTGGTTGATAATCTGTATCGTTATGAAAAATCTGTATCATAATGGATATCATTATGAAACGGATTATGGACATATAAGTGTATTGTTAGAGTACGGGTGTAGAAAAAAAATATTTATTACATCAATCTTGACCTTTTCGCTATTTTTTCCGATATTTTTTATTTATCATGGCCTGTTTATTTTTGGGTTCCTAGTTTCCATTATCTATCTCGGTAAATTTTCGTTATGTGGACACCCGGCGATTTTGAAAAAATTTTTGACTGTACTTACGTATTTTGATGCGTAGATTATGAATCCGAAAGAAAAAAGCGGCGCTCTCCCTTATTTAAAAAGTTACGGCCCTTCAAAGATCAGAAAAGGGCATTTTTTCAGCCTTCTTTTTCACTAAATAAACTATTTAAAAACACAAGCATTTATTCACTAGGTCACCTTTACACCTTATTCCTCCTTCTTTAACACTTTTCACTTCAATAATCAACATTTTTCTTATAAAAAACTTAAATTAAAAAGGAATGCTTCTCCTGGTGACATTATTCTATTTTTAGGTTAGTTACTAGTGACATTTCAGAAAAAAGCGGTTGGTATTTGCCGTCGCCTACTATTTCAAATTCGTAATACACCACCAAAAACCAATTTACGATCTAAAGAATGAAGGTAAAAAACATTTGAATTACTTCAGGAATATGGACTGCATCAGTCGTACCAACCATATCATTAACCTTAAAAACGTAAAATACAGTGATATGTAACCAAAAAGCGGCTCCGTACATTTTTTAACATTTTTATAAGAAAAATGTTGATTATTGAAGTGAAAAGTGTTGAAGAAGGAGGAATAAGGTGTAAAGGTGACCTAGTGAATAAATGCTTGTGTTTTTAAATAGTTTATTTAGTGAAAAAGAAGGCTGAAAAGTTGCCCTTTTCTGAATTTTGAAGGGCCGTAACTTTTTAAATAAGGGAGAGCACCGCTTTTTTCTTTCGGATTCGTAATCTACGCATCAAAATGTGTAAGTACAGTCAAAATTTTTTTCAAAATCACCGGGTGTCCACATAACGAAAATTTACCTCTATCTCAACTGCAGGATTATCTTCAGCTTTAATTTGTAGTTATTCAAAGTTATAACCATTTATTTCAACCATATCCCAAATTTGGTACAATCCTGCTCTGGGACGGCAGTGAACAAAAATACTTATCACGAAACTGGTGATTTGGTACGCTACTGGTTATCAACATTACCAACAGAAAACGCAATAAGTTGTACATTTGCGACTCCTCAGTCTTCACAGTGATGGTGACTTGTTCTTCATATATTTTATAGTTGTCCCAGGTAAGTACAAAAAGTTATTATTAAGTGATATTGAAATGCAAAAATGACTTTAGTTTAGGAAATGTTTGCACCGTTTCTGTACGCACTGTAATGTATAATGTGTGTGATGTATGTATAATGTATAATTCCATCATCCAATATTTCAACAGCAATTTATTGAATTTGGATTTATCAAAAGAAGGTTTTCGAACGCTTCCCCACCTAACCAATTATCAAGAAATTAGAAAGTTAACAAAATAACATCTGTTATGGAAATGATAACCAAATGGGATAGCTCTGTTTTCATTTTAATGAATATCTCTCGCATTAAATCTGAGAAAGAGAATAAAACGGACATTTATAGGAGGCAATGTGTTACATTGCCAATCATATTTACGAAAAATTAGTTTCGAATAATTCGAAAGTATTCAACTCGTCAAAACATTCAACACCGAATCCACTGATTTCTTCATCCATTTTTATCAAAATGAATATATAGTGAAAAATGCATGTATCAACATGCTCTGAAAAAAAGAAAATTTCAACAATACAACTTTGTTTTAGAGAATTAAAAGTTCCTATGCTTTTTACCACTTGTATTTGTAACTAAAGTTACTGCAGTTTCGTCCAATAAGGTCATTTTCTAACGTTAGTTACAAATAAAAGAGGTAAACACATAGGCAGTTTTATTTTTCGTTTTTCATAATCCTAATGTGAGTTTATTGAAGATATTCATTTTTATTTGATAACGAAAATGGTAAAGAACTAAATTTTTCATGCACACCTAGTTGTGAAAAATTCACTAATGTTGTCCATGATAACGCAGTCGTGTAGTTTCAGAGCAAGAGATCTTTTTCCAATGTTTCAAAAGTTTCACAAGGTGAGCAACAATAACGATATGGAAACGATATAGAAATTACTATATTTGACAAATTATAACCGTAATCTTGTCCGTGAATTCATTCGTTTAAAGCTCACTTAAGAGAAGCTGAAGCAAAATTTTACATGAAAAAATATTCTATAGAAAAGGTGATGGTTATTTTCACTCTGGATTTCACTGCTGCTCTAATTGTCTCTTTTGTATCATCCTTAATGGATATTGGATGCATAAAGCGTTTGCGTTCAATGAATCCCCAAAAAAATAATTTACGGTATTTAAATCGGACAGAAGAGGTGGCTGAATGTATTGGTCGACCATCTTTTTGGGAACATTTATTCCAGAATTCTATCGACATCAGGCAACAACCGCACCAAATGTTCTCTGTGTTTCTTTTCAGACCACCGTAATCAATATCTGCCAAATACTGGATAATTTAAATTATCCTAATGAAAAGAGAAACTCAATATTAACCATCAATAGTCTGTGGGAGGAGAACTGTGCGGCTTAGGGCAGGTAGCCAGAATTTATAAATGTTTATCCCTTCTTTCCTTCGATTTAAATTATTTTTATTAATATTGCTCCCTATATGTAATATTGGATAATAATTTTGGGTTTCATCCAGACTCTCTCTGATAGTTTTTGTAGGCCTGAAAATTAGTTTGACGTCATCGAGTATCCAAAATTCTCCCAATAATCCAGTATGCAACAATTTAAACGGGACCTCTCAACCATCGTTTGAATTACTCTTCTTTTTTGAATAACTGCTCTACCATTTCATATCGGAAAAAACATATTTCTGCAAGTAGCTTATTTTGAAGTAAACTTCTTTCTTCGTTTCTTCGGAAATGTCCCACAAAATATTTTTTCCCAAAAAGTAGTCTATGAAAAAAATTTCTTTTTTTTTTAATTTCGAATATAATTCTGATATATCGACCTAAAAACCATGGACAAATTAAGAATCATGGCATGAAACCTTTAGATTTTTTTCTAACGATTCATTCGATAGATTCCGTCATTGTTATTATTTACAGAAGAAAAACTGCTAGTTATCAAATATGTATGACCTTCGAACTGGTTATGTATTCATTATGATAATTATTGTAATTGCTAATGTTACACAGCTTGAGACATCAAAAATCATGCAATCCATTTGTAATGATACAATAACAGGTTAATTAGTCTAATGGTTGAAAATTGAACACAAATCATTTTTTGTCCGGGAAGTACTATATAGGCTTTTTACAGCCTTTATATTCCGGAAAGAATCACATCGTTGTTGTCATTGTAATAGTAGGGGAGCCCACGATGCAAAATGGAGATATACTCGAGCGTCATAGAGACATATTAGGTTCCAAAGCTTATATGATAAGAACAAAAAAATGTTGTATGATATATACCCTTTCATCGGTTGGGGAAGCGGCCTTAGATTTTTAAATATATAAAAAATACTGTTGCATGGACATACTCGAGCGCGTCAGATATTGATAGCATCAATGTCCAATATCTGATGGTTTGCATGATGCGGGTGGTTGTACCACCCGCATCATGCAAACATCAAAAACGGCGTGAGAGCTGAGGCCCAATTCTTCCGTCATCCCACGCACCGTTTTGTGATGGGTCACCCTCCACCAGGGTCCTCAACTCCTCCTCCTGGAACACTGTAGGTCTCATCTTTAACGTCGAACTGTGCGTCCATCAACAATAATTGCTAAAGGTCTGGTTAATTTTTCGAGTTGTTTTAGCAGCGCTTAGGTTCGATTTGAATTCGTAGAGAAATATTGGCCAAAAATCGTCCGACATCATATAGTAATAAGCTGAAAAGAGGCAAAATGTACAGAGTATAAAATTATCTATCAATCAGTGTATACCAAGACACAGTAGAATAAATATTCATCGAGATATAGAGCTACAAAATCACATGGTTGCATATCATAATGAGGATCTAGAAGTGATTTCGAATATTCATCGAGATATAGAGCTACAAAATCACATGGTTGCATATCATAATGAGGATCTAGAAGTGATTTCGAATGAGCTTTTTTCCTGAGAATAGTACTGCGAACGTTTCACGAGAGGTAGGGAAAACATAAACTATTCACATGTAAAACAGTGATATAACAGTCTGATATAAAAAGTATTTTGTGCTAGTATAATGCTAACAAAGCATTGCTGTTTTGCGAATTAAACGTCGGATAATCGATATCCGGAAGAAAACGTGTTGTTTATACCATTTATTAAACCTCATATTAATGAGGTTAGATGTAAGAAATGGATACATGCTTCGAAGAGAGTGGATTTAACAGTGCAAAAAATAAATAAATATTCATATGTATGCTCTAAACATGAAATGAATAGTAAATTTTTCATAGTTAATTACCATTGATTAGAATGAGATATAACCTCAATCGTTTATTAAATTATATTCATTTATTATATTTAATTAAATTTATTTCATTACCATCTATATTTGATTCATATTTGACTCGGAAATGTATCTGAAATTCATTATTATTTCAAATTTCTTTTATTACAGTTTGAATCTTCCGCTACTCTTTTACTAGAGTCTGTATGCTAACCTATCTATTAACTCACTTTTTTTTCAGTTACTTTTAGATTACGGCAAGGCAAAGTTTTAATATTACAACATTGTTATCCTTAACAGTTGCAAATTTTAGTTTTGGTCCAGAAACATCTTCTTCTGTTAAACACATTCTTTTTTAATTGTACTCTATCATATGTTTATTTGAGGATTAGGCAGTGTTTGTCCCTACCGAACTACTAGCGCTGCTAGCTGCTAGTGAGTGATTTTTCGTACTTCAGGAAAAAGGTACATTGGGGTGAAATTAACGACGTTAAATTCAATGCCACGAAAACCAAAGCACCGGTTTTCTCCAAAAAGATAAATGCCTTCGAACCTAAATAATAACATCAGGACAGACAATTCCGGTTTCTGCTCCGATGAATTTGTTGAGGATTAAAATGGACACCAATATGTCTTGGCACAATCATGTCGCTGAAATTGCAAAGGCTGCTTCTCAAAAGCACTATTCCAAACCAGAAAACTGTATACACCTCAGCAACTGTTGATGCTTTATAAAGCTCAGATCAGACCTTGATAGTCTGGAACATCGAAGAAAGGTTGTAGATTTGTCTCTTTTATAGATACTTGTGCGGAAGGTGTTCAAGTGACTTGGCACATTTGATTCCACCAAGAGCGATACATATCAGAAATACGCGACGGACTGTGGCTGCTCATCGTTTTGAGGTTCAACTCAGTACACCTCGAACTTCACTGTTTAAGAACTCTTTCATTTGGAGAACTCCGTTTATGTGGAATAAACTACTGAAAACGTTTTCCCAAATGAATTTAATCTCCCGTGATTCAAACTCAACGTGAATTGCTACTTCCGCACAGGCTCCGCTCTCAGAGCGCCTCAATGGTTTTCCTGTAGTGCTTGCGTTTTGTCCTTGAAAAAAACATGACATTTAAACGGACAAAACTAATAAATATCGTACAAATTTCTCAAAATTGAATAGAATTAGACACATCAGAGATATTCCCAATCCATATCAGGACACTTATGGACACTTATTGGCCGATACTTGATGAAAATCCATAACTCTACTATGAGATTTTCACTGGATACTTTACAAAACCATAACACATGTTTCACTATACAATATCTTCATACTGACAGAGTCAGTATAAACACACACATTATATTGGAGAAATGGATTGAAGTCATGTATAATTTATGTCGTAGCTGGAGATTCCAATTCTACAAGTACCAATCAGCAATTTATGAGAACGCATTCATATTAAAAATATGTCTACTCTCAATAACCTATGCAGAAAAACAAATGACCCAATAACTTTTATTTTATTTTTTTCAAGAAATAATGGAACTACTCATTTTCGATTACCTAACGAAAACTTTGGTATATTCAAGCATATTGGCCACCTTTATATACCTATATTTCTCATGGTGCTACGGTCATTGGAAAAGAAGAAACTTCCCGTTTTTAAAGCCAAATTTTCCCAAGGGAAACAATCCGACATACCTCGCCAGGTTTCCAGGTCCACACTTGGAATGCAGAGACCATTATCTTGAGATTCGCAAACGAGGTCTTAAATTTGCTGGGATATTTTCCGTTATACATCCAATACTAGTTGTGGTGGACCCCGTAATAATTAAGGATATTCTAGTTAAGGTAAGACCGGAGAACAGATATGTCAGCAAGTCAGTGTATTTACTAAGTACATACATACAATATTGTGAAATAAGTGAAATGAAATCTTCAATAATTTTTTTAGCAGCAAAGCACAAGCTTTGATTCCATTTGATGATGTTTTGGAATAATCAGAACCTCTTAAAACAAAAAAATCACACTTTGTTTCAGCAATATAGGTATGAATTGTTCGAGATGTTCGCATTCCACTTTTAGCACGACATGAATCGAGTATCTGTCCTACATGGAAATCCTTCTAGATCTACCTCCTCTCCAACATTTTTCTAGAGAAAGAAGTTAGATGGACTGCATATCGCTAATTGTACAAATCATTCTAATGCACAGTTAGGTTAGGTTAGGTCGGCTCTGCCGAACTCTAAAGACCTGGTTCGGTCCCCAGCGGGACAGGCACTAAGCATATGCTCTTTTAATGAGGTAGTCGGATAGTCAAGGTGCAAGATTCCCATCTTGATACCCACGACAACCTTCCCATATGAGGGTTTTTGCACGCCAGCTACACCTGACGATGCCTTAGATTCAGCCGTGCAGGGCTTTTTCGCCTCTGGTTTTGGTGAAACCTCACTTGAGCGCAAACGTTTGCTAATCTGCTCATGGGGGGTTAGTTCCCCCACCTGAAACAGATTCTGCGTACGCCGCAGATCTCGCTCCTGAACTAAATTTACAGGGAGGTCAATTGGAGTCGTAAACTCGACATCCATCTCCTCTGTAGACTCGCTCCTGAACTAAATTTACAGGGAGGTCCGTTGGAGTCGTAAACTCGACATCCATCTCCTCTGGAGACTCGCTCCTGAATTAAATTTACAGGGAGGTCCGTTGGAGTCGTAAACTCGACATCCATCTCCTCTGTAGACTCGCTCCTGGATTAAATTTTACAGGAAGATCAGTTGGAGTCGTAAACTCGACATCCATTTCCTCTGTAGAATCGCTCCTGATCTAAATTTACAGGGAGGTCAGTTGGAGTCGTAAGCTCGACATCCATCTCCTCTATAGACTCAACGTCAGAAAGAATTTTCAAGTTTACTCTGTCCATAAAGGTCCCACGAGTAGCTAGGGAAAGAAGGTCAATCACGGCAGATCCCCCCATTACCGTGACAAGGCGATGCTACGACGAGAGGACGCCCGGTAACTCGAAGGTTCCGTAGAGACAGCTGATAGGCTCAGTGTCATTCATCCTCTTGGCACGGATACACACACCTTAGGATTAAGCCATCGTTGGGATGCCATTCAGTTAGGGAATAACAGAACCACAAGTGATTCTGTCATTTCCATATCCAGCGGGGCTACGTGGAAGCAGGCATCCGATGGCCGGGTTGCTCAACCCCCACATCCCAAGCCAATGCATTCGCCAAAAACAGCATGCACAGTGATTCAGACAGTGAAAGATGAACAAGGACAGCCAACCCGCCTAATGCACAGTACCCTAGACTGCTGATAGACACTGGAAGTCACAGCATTCTCGGAATGACCTCTAACATTATGCCTCCAACTGTCAACTACGAACTGCCTTACTTTTCCCAAGTAGAGAGGACTGGATCCTCCGGGAGAAGGAAATATTAAGAGCAGACAAGCAGCGTTGGAAGCTCTTGGCTCCTATACCGAGCAACGTCTAAATTCAGTATCACTATCTCCATTCCGGTTTGAAGGCCGTCGTAGCTTCATAAGCTTCTTCTGAAGAAGTCAGCCACTCGTGTTGGCAGAACGTTAGGATGCAGTTCCAAACTACGACGACCTTCAAACCCGAATGGAGATAGTAACACTGAAAATCTCGGCCGTGAAATCCTTAACCAATTTATCAACGTCTAAATTGGTAGCAAATTGCCAAAAATTACTTTCCTCAATAGGAAGACTTAACAGATTGTCTCTAGTCTGGATTCCTAGCCATACTGGCCTGGAAGGCAATGAGGCTGCTGACTCCTTTACAAATGAGGGTGCTGCAAGCAGCTTCATCGGACCGGAACCTGCCATTGGCATCGCTTAAGGTTTTGCCAAACAAACATTGAACACCTGGATGGCAAGAAGATTTAAGGACTTCTGGCAAAATCTTCCAGGGTTAGCTCACTCGAAGGCGTTCATTCACCCTTCGAAGTTTGAAACCAAACAGTTGCTGGACTACAGTCATATGCAGAGACTCGGACTGTCGGAAGACAGTGTGTGTCTCCTCTCTTTGGAAAATGGTGAAACAGCAGAGCATATTCTCTGTACCTGCACCGCTGGGGACCAAATCAGGTTTTTAGAGTTCGGGGTCAGTCTCCACCAGGACCCTGGTAGAGACTGACTCATCACAAACGGTGTGTAAGATGGCGGAAGAAATTGGCGTCAGCTCCCATGCGGTTTTGATGATTTAAGACGCATTGGAAAGTTCAAAAATTTTGAAAACTGGGTGACCACGATTTGAACGATTGACAAATTGTCACGTTTCGAAGTCTGTTTTTTGCTTTCGCGGAAACAAAACGATCCTTTTTGGATCGGATCAGAATAGGAGACGTTCAGGACAGTGATTGGACACCAATGAGCCACCCAGACACGTCCCAAACCCACCAAAAAATATCATGACTACTGTTTGGTGGTCACTGCTGGAATGATTTACTATATCTTTCTGCAACCGGGCCAAACCATCACGGCAGAGGTCCGATCCTGTTCCACGACAGCGTCCGTCCGCACGTTTCACAAATCACCGTCCGAAAATTAAACGAATTGAGCGGCTAAGTTCTGCCACACCCACCAAACTCCCCAGACCCCAATCATTTTTTTCAAGCACTTCGATAACTTTCTCACCGGTAGAACTTTCACTAATCAGGACTAGACAAAACCGGCCTTCGTCGATTGCATCGAATCCCGAGCACACAATTTTTATGCTAACGGGATAATTCGGCTTATGTTACGTTGGCAAGAGTGCACTGATTCAAATGACGCTTATTTTGATTAAATTGAAACATTATTCATTGAGATATTACAGTTCAAATTAGAGTCATAAAAACGGACAAAACTTTTGAAACAACGTAATATAATGATCACTTTTCAGGACTTCGAACATTTTGTTGACCGTGGATTCTACTCTTCTGAAAATGATCCTCTATCGGTTAGTTTACTTTCTATGGGTGGAGACAAATGGAAGAATTCCAGGGGAAAACTAACGAACTTTTTTACCATTGGAAAGGTGAAGATGCTCATTCCTTTAATGGTCGGGTCTGCCAAACCAATGGTTAGATCAATTGGAGAGTGTGCTTTAAACAATACAGATTCAAATATCACGCTGGTGAGCAGATTATAATCATGTGACATTCATGATAATTTCAGTTTTGGTCTTCCTTTTTTTGCTCGAGAGTTTGTTGTATTTTTTGTAGCTGACAAAAAGATATGCAGCAGAGACCGTTGGTACTTGCTTTTTGGGAATAGATTGCAACAACTTTGGAGATGCTGAAGACACTTTTGCAAACATGGTTGGGAAGTTTTTCCGGGATCAAAATTTCACACACCTTTTGAGGGTCTCGTGTACAAACAGATTTCCAGCATTGAGCAGAAAAGTTGGTAGGTATCACAATCGAAATTATTCAACAATTACTGTTGTAGATTCAAAGGTTGAAAAAATCTCGATGTCATTTGAATAGTCATTCAAAATAAAATCATCCATAAAGAAAACTTCCTCGCACTGCAGACTGTAAAAATGCATATTAAATTACATATTAACATAAAACTACCATTCAGACCAAAGTATTCTTGTTATATCCCTTGCTAGTTCGGTAGTAAATTAATTGTTCTTGATATTGATATTCATTATTCCTAATAACGTTTGAGATATTACCTATGATAGCATTAAGTTTTTCATTTTAATTGATCTGTTTATTGATTTAATTTGATCCAATAGATTCTGAGGACGGCATTGTGCCGAAACATATTTTATTACAAATAAACCAAAAAAAAAATTCACAGTTTGAGAAAGAGTCAATGCATAGTAGTCTTAAATTACGTTTCTCTCATAAATGACCCCGGTTAATACTTTGATACTAAATAAGACCGGATTAGTTTTTTTTTATTTTTAATTCAATATTAACCAGTTTTTGAATAATCGTTCTTTTCTTTCAAAAAATACTATATTTCTCAAAATCTAAGGAATTGTTGCCCCTCTCCATATTTCTGTCTTTAGCAAAACTTTCAAGAGATTTTCCCCACCCAATTATATAGACTATAAAAATCCTTATGGTATTCTTGATTTTGCTATTAAGTTATTTGATTGATATAATTTTCCATGCAACTGTATGCAAATGTTTTATAGTCGACCAGTCAGTTACGAATTTTCTCTTATTCCATAATTTGCCAAGTTTCATATCATTATTTGGTTGTCGATTTAATTATGAGCTTTCCCTAAAGCTAAGAATATGAACAGAACCAGATATTCTCTCATGTTCAATTTTGCATAAACTGAAAAATTATGACTCTGACTTGACCTTTTCTTTGTGATTCTAATCAAATAAGCAATAGTTTTATTGTTCTCATACATTCGAACTAAACATGAAATTTGCTATCCAAAACAAAATCAAAATTTGGTGGGAACCTTGAAATAAAAAATATTTTTTTCTCTTTGACTCCATTTTTTCTTCATTTCTTAAATTTTCTTCGCAGGACTGAAACTAATTTTGAGTGAAGTTTCCGAATTTTTCAAAAGTGCTGTGAGGGATACTTTGAAGTACAGAGAAGAACACAATTATTTCCGTCCAGATGTTCTGCAACTTCTCATTAACCTCAAAAAAGAAATGGAAAACACCTCAGACCCCATAACTGAGGAGCAAGTGGTAAATTATTATTATTATTTTCAGTTCAATTTTATATTCTGGGTGAATGTGAAACAGGTACTGCTACGAACTTTTCACACAGATGGATACTTTATTTAGGGCTTGATTAAATTTAATTCAATTTGAGGCAGAGGTAATAAAACTTCTTCAGAATCAACAACTTTTTCGAACTATATTTTGGATGAATAAGGATACCCTTCAACTCAAGCCGCTTTGATGAGATCCCTGTATATATTGGCAACAAATTCATTCCTTTTGTCGCTGAAGCTAAATGACTTGGTGTTATTTTTGACCATCAGCTCAAATTCTCCAAACAATTAGGTGTCGTCGCAAAGAGAACTACCTAAGCCTTAAAAAACGATTCCCCTTCGAACGGAATGCGGAAACTACCACTAAAAATGCTTTGCAGCTCTCTTGTCCTCTCGCTTACTAAATATGCTGACATATGGACCTTGTTCATCACATAAAGGGCATGCAAGATTGCAAAAATGCAAAATCAATGCCTTCGTTCTACAGTGTGACCCATTTAAAATGGAACCACCCCTGTAGAATGTGTATTTTTCAATCAATCTCAATTTTTTTTTTATTGAAATATTAAGCATGAAAAACTGTATCTTGACACTAACTTTCACAATTTTAGTTTCATTTCGAAGGCACTCTATGGTTTTTTTTGTTTGTCAAAAACGGCAAAAGTTTATTAGGCAATTTTTGTTTTCAAATTTGACTACACCACTGGATTCGTAGTCGTTATAAATCAAAACTGTCAAATTTTCATTAGAAAATATTTGTTAACAACGAAGTTACAACAACTTCAATTTTGGAAACAAAGTATTTGTTTGTAATTTTTATTCAGATTATAGACATATTTGAGATCTGACAACACTGTCATCACCAAGTAGAACACCAGTGAATTTGTACAGTGAAAATCCGAAGT